TTATCGCAAAAATAATATCACCAATAATAATAATTTCAATAATAATAGTAATAATGATAATAATACTAATTTTAATATTATCACTCCACCGCAAATAATTCCTAATAATTTAATTAATAATCCGATAAATAATTCAATTAATAATTCAATTAATTCACAAATGGGTAAATTTGTTATTATTATTCATTCATTCATTTATTTGATTAACTGTTAAAACACTAGTTATTCCGAGACAAATTCATCCTGCACCGGAACTACTACTATCTACACCAAAGCAATTTTTAAGTTTTGAACATGGTAATGAAAATCTATTTTATATTACTCGAAACTCCCTCTTAAAAATTAATTTTTAATTAGACATTTGTTTATTATTAGATATCTTTATCCCCGTACTAAAATCAGTTACTATTCGTTCTCCTTCACGAATATATAAAAAGAAAATCGCCGTTACCGATAATACAACTTTTTCATCTCTAATTTCCTTCACTATTAAGAAACCACTTCCCCCGGAAAACAATTTGTTATAAGAGCACCCGATGGACTTGAATATATTCCAAATGACTTCTTGCGTACCGTCATCACAGGATTAGAACATGCTAAAATTATATTAACATAATTGATTTACGATTTTGTTCTCGCTAAAACAAAAAAAAATTTCGATCTACAGTATTAATAGTCGATTGGATATATTTTACTTATTATTAATGATTTTTTTTGAATCAATATAGTTTCTTCAGTAATAGGAAAATAATTAATTGATTCTCCTGGATGTAAACTTTTGATAACATTTATAAAATTAGTTACTCCGACCCGAGAAGCACGAGTATTAATGCTAGGTCGTTTTTTGCACTTTTTTTTCTGATTGAGAAGATGATGAAAATTCTTCATCAGAAAAACTTTTTACTTGAGAACACTACGATTGAATTTGTAAAGTTGGTAATTTATTGAAAGAGATGATGAACGTGTATATATAAAAAGAAGATCGCCGTTACGATAATACAACCTTTTTTCTTTCGTTATTAAGAAATCACCTCCCCCCCGGAAAACAATTTGTCATAAGAGCACCCGATGAACTTGAATATATTCCAGTGACTTCGTGCGTACTGTCATCGCAGGAGTAGAACATGCTGAAATTATATTAACAATAGAAGATATTGGTCCCATCGATTTTGATTTTTTTAAAATAAAAAATAACGAAAAAATGATAAATAAATTAAATAAATTCGTCTATAATACGCAGCGTTACAGTATTATTCCTAATAATCAATCGATTGAATATATTACGGATTTAAATATAAACATATAAAATTTTATTTTTTATGTGTAGTTATGTATATTTAGTTATTTTACTTCGTTCTTTTTTTTTTGTAGATAATTCCATAATTCTAACAAATATAGATATATAAATCCATAATTCTCAAAGAGCAATAACATTCTTTTTGTATATATTTTTACGAGAGAGAGAAATAGAAAAAGGCTAATTAGTATCTTTTATTATTCTTTTTTATTATAGAGGTTGGTTTTTTTAAAAAAAAAAATTACAAACAAAATTTTATGCAACATGTTTGAAAATTTCGAATATAGTAAATATTTTATATAAGTTTTATGCTTGTAAATTTATTTAAAAATTTAAACTGCTTTTTCCCCTTAATTGAACAACAAATAAGTCAATCGATATTACACATTCTTCATAGTTGTTATTGTTGTTTCCATTGTTGATAAGAACAGTTTAAAACAAGTTTTAGCTCCAGATAACAACCGGAGCCAAAAAAGAAGGCAACATTAAAGAATTACTTTGTCCAAATAATGTAACTGACAAAAATAAAAACAATAACACTGAAACACTCACTCAGTAAACGTGTTAGGCTCCATTAATGGTTCTAGGGTTTTTATCCAATCAAAAATTATTATTTGTTGTAGATCCTTAATTGTGATTGGCTTATTTTAAAGATAAACATGGATAATATGAATTTTTACATATTTTTATGACAGGTTATTATGTAAATAGAAGCTTTAAACCCGAAAAACGTTCTGACTATACAACGTCTAACCCATCGTCCCGACACCTAACCCATCGTTCAACCAACTTGCGTCAACTCATATTTTATAACAAAGGTTTGAAATCTGTGTAACAAATTATATCAAATGCGCCCATATGAATAATACATATAGTAATATAATTTATCCAGATCTGAGTGCTAAAAAAAAACTTTAACTACATTAAGATATTGTAATTTTGTTCATCACAACAATAACAATAACAATAAATAACAATAATGGCAGAAGATCAAAAATGAATTAAAGAAACCAAAGCAAATAAACATTATATCATTATTTATTATCTAAATAATGTCTAGTCAAGAGACTTTGAGCAATAGGTTGATTTAATCGACTAAAAAATTATTATACATTCTCACCAATCTTCCTTGACCAACAGCCACGGCCTATAGATTAAAATTAATCAATTACTATTATGCAAAAATAGAAAACTTGATTTAATATTTATTTTTTTTTTAAGAATCAATAAAAACATCTTTTTGAATTACTTGAATTGAAGCTATCTCTTATACATTTCTAGTCTTCTCAGTCCAATCCAATCGTACCACTAGTAACTAAAACCACTCTATATCCTAAACTACGAGGATTTCAACCATAAGCGAAAGATTTGATAATAATGGTAAATTCGTTTCTCCTTCACGTATTGATGATGTAACTATGGTTGATTCTTGATTAAAAATTCAGGTAATCGTGTTGGCCGTTAAGATCGCAGGTCCGATGATATTTTTTTTTTTTTTTTTTTTTTATATTGTGGAAATATGCCTATATTACTTTTCTGACTTTCTCTTCACCAAATTATAAAATAAGGGCAGTATTTCATAAAATATTATCATTTTTAGTAAGCAAATTATAATTCATATTTTCCGCTTTTTTATTTACTAAATTATGAAAATATTTGGTATCCTTCAATTAATCGAATTTCGTTGCTGAAAGAAGGAAAGAAGACACTTTATATAACTCACTTTGTATATCTTGATAATTTCATTTTGGATTTCTTTATCACATTTTCTTATATTTACTTAGAAGTTGAGAAAAATGGTAGTGTTTTCTTGTTTGGTGACCCGTTAATAAAAAATATCGAAGTGTTTCTGGTTAAAAACGGATTCTGTTCCTCAATTCTTCATTGCTCCATTTTGATGATTTCCAAGGATGGTAAAAAAATTCACGGAGCATGTTAGTCGGTTTGAGTTATTTGCAACTTTGAAGTATTACTCATAAATCTATCTTTTAATTTTTTGAGTTGCCTGGGCAAGTTTACTTGTCAGGCGGTGGGTTGCAGGCATGTCTCTTTAGAGTTAGTCTGAGTCTCATCTTTTCAATAAAATTAGGATAAGTTATGTATCTCCATTAGTAATAATGTAAGAGACTTTCTCTTTTCTTAATTAATAAATTTGAGGCAAAGACCTCGCTGGAACAAAAAAAAAATTTTTGAGTTGCCATTTCGATCTTCCAAATTCCTTTTATTAGAAACATCAACAAAGTGTTTCTGTAACGTATCTACCGAATTTAGAACTGCGCTGAGTTGTTGTCTAGCATATGAAGGTTTTATTTTTTCGAAAATTTTGTGGACGTATGAATTCCCTTACTTTTTTAATGGAGCTCTTAGAAAAATAAATATAATACAGGATCCAACTAAAAGATGAAGCCAAAAATACCAATATTCTGTTACATTCAACTAAGAGTTGAGGAAAAGGACCTAATACGAACTAACTAGGAGTTGGGATAAGGGAGCCATGTAATACAAAACTAAGAGTTGAGATTACCAGTTTGCAACTAAAAATTTCAAACCTTCCCTTAAGAACTAAGAGTTTCAGAATTCTCCCTCTGAACTGACATAACTCTTTTTTTTTTATTAACGTATTAAAATATCAACCAATTATCTAATTGTCAATAATTTGATTTCATGTGCTTTTGCTTTACGTTTCAAGTCGGAGGATGTAACTTTTTTTTAACCAAATCAAGGACTTTAGATATTTGCTGCAAAGACAACAATTTGTTTGAAAAGTATTGTTTGCGGTATTATTTGCTCTCGACCGATCTTCAACAGGATCCTTATAGAAGTTCGTTTTACGGATTGAAAACATGGTTATGATCATTTAGGATGTAGATTGGTTAGCATTTTAACCACCTACTTGAGTACATGAAAGATATATACATATATGCAACATGAATAACAGAATTTCCTCGAGATTTGCCGAGGACCTTTATCCGTATAAGCTTTTATCCTGTGCCCATGTCCCCTTCAAATTTTATTGATCCATAACTTGACATGGGAAATTAAGGAGGTGACAAATATGGTCTCTTGTAAAAAAAAATTATTTACCAGGACTCAACCTATTTCATTCCATTTCTTGTTTTGCTATTGACTTTATATAATAGATTTCAATTGCAAATTGCATCAATTTTGTAATATAACATTTGGATTAAATTAAAAAAAAACTGAATAAGAATATAAAATAATGTATGTCAGAAAACTATATCACATATACCATATAGATAAAAAATTCCCAAAAACCAGTTGACAAAGGAATAGATAAGGAAATTGTGATATAAACGAGTTTGATAAAACAAGTCATTATAATTATTATTAAGGGTTGAGACTATATGCATACATTAGATATTTCTAGAAAGTATATAACTATGTAACTATGTAACAAGGTGCATTTTTGCATTATAATAAAGTTTTAAAGCTTAAATTTTCAGAATAAAGTTTCTACTAAAATAATTTCAATAACCAATGTCACTTCGACTATAAAATTTTTTACTTCATTATCATTATCATTACATTTTCTTCCTGATCAATGATTAGATATTATTATTTCATAAATGCTTGAAAATAATATAATATAAGTCATATTTGCTATGTCAGGAGGAGCGTTTCTTATCTTTAAAAAGGCAGATATGAATTTTAAATTTTATAATTATTGATGATTTTTGATAATTGTTATTAATTGTTTAATTGTTTAATTGCTAAGAAAGAAACGATAACTTTTACAATTTTTATTGAATTGTTATATTAAAATTATTGCTTGGTATTTATATGATACAATGTTCATAATAAAATTTCTTAGTTGTAATATACATTTATACTAGCCATATTATTTGATGCATGAATTCTTTTTTAGTTATTTTTTTCCGTTCAAATGAATTGTGTATTTTTTAATCAAAAATAAAATAATTGTCCACGTTCTCATTTTGAAACTATAAATGGTTCTTTATGTACATTTAATTTCAAATTTTACTGTATATTCTTATACCCATGTTCTTCAATCAATTTTGCAATAATTTTAAATAATAGTTTAAGGCCAATTATTTATTTTCATTCTTCGCTTTTTTTTCTTTTTTTTTATTACATAACTGTAAACTTTATTAAATTAAACATTCATCATTCTCAATTATTTATGTAGTTTAAACTATAAATAATATTTGTCATTTTTTTCTTAATTAATTAATAAACATGTAAAAAAAATGTGTTCATATAATTTAAATTAAAAGAAAATGTTTCTTCAACTGACGGAGATTCAACTCTTTTTGGTTTTTTTGAGGTTTAAAAATGCA